TGAATTACTGACTACAACTGTCATATGTTCCTCTAATAGCATATTTCATAAAGAACCAACAGATGCTCAGATTAAAAAAAAAAATACATGGCTAATCCAATGAAGCCAAAAGAGAGAGAAGATATATCACTGGGTCCTAAAGGAGAGCAGGTCCTTTATTCCTTTACCCTGTGGATACTCTACACTGAAATTTCTTATTTGCATTATAGTAATATTCTCTAGAAAAATAAAGTGTATATGTATAAATGCACATTCGCATACTAATATGTGTACAATCATGCATATTCATATATACACAAGTTTGTATGCACAAATATATACTGGGTTTTAAAAATCAATACAAACATTGTACATGAATTACAAATGAAACAACTCACAGGGAAGCTTTGATCATTGAGCATAATCATGAGGTAAGCAGATGCAAAGACCTGTTAACTGTTAATTGCAAAAAGACATGTACATCAAGCTATATGATGCTTTGAAAATCAAACACACTTTGATAGAGTATTCAGTGTTTTGACAAAAATAGAACACACAGATATTTCCCATGTTAGAAAATATTAACAAAAACTCTTGTACGTCAATTACTTACTTATGATTGATTTTACACAAGTGAACCCTAACGGAATCCTCTAACACAGCTGATTCTACTTACATGAAATGTTCAGCTTTCATAAGAGGATAGTCATAACAAAGTCCTAAAAAATATAAAAATACACAAAAAAATAATGTACACATATATACATATAACCTATACAACAACATCCATAAAACCATAATCCATATCTTTTATATCATTTTGTGGCCCCAGTATCAAACCCTCATTTTACATGAATGGTTTCAATATGCAAGTATAAACTTAAAAAAATAGTTATAATATATTTACAAAAACAAACAATAAGTTAATACATATACAATCTGAAGCTACTCTACATCACCTGTAGTCATGTACCTGTAGGCACTGTTGCAACATTTCATTTACATATAAAATGGTATTATCCACAACAATAATGCCATGATGTATTTGAACACGCTTCACTATCATAAAGAAAAGAGTGAAAAGATGAAGGAGAGAAAGAATGTTAGAAGGTGGCTTTTTACAATTATGTGAAAAGAATAAAATAAAATATTCGAGGACGGAATCATTACCTCTTACTTTCTCTCAAATGTAATGGCACTTGTTTTACTTGCTATGGTTACATTTTTCTTCACTGACATTAAATTGCACAATTATACATATAACAAATATGACTATACTGAATTCCAGTTTTCACTATTTACAAAGGGGTTATTGGTATACTGTTCATTTTCAATAAAATTTGATTTTCAAAAATTATAAACCAATATTCAGTTTAGCTAAATGATAATTTAGCCTATTAATTCCTACTAAAAACTAACCACACAGATTCCCATCACTCTATATAGAGCACTTCAGAAATGGTAAATTAATTACAAACAACCATATAGATCTAAATTAGTTTTATCTGATACAGTACTTGAGTTGAAGTAGTTGAAATCATCTTTATAAAAAATACAATTTTCCTTATATTCCTGAACTCTTTTTTCTTAGGACAAGTTTTCAAGGTCTGTCTGGTCCAATACTCATGTCATTTCCATATTTAGTATAGGTTGCAAGTGGTTGCAACCCATACGCCTCCTGTCACATACCCGACTCCACTATCCCTTCATCATCTGTGTAAGAAGAAAAAATATATATATAAGTAATCTTAAAAAAAAATATTAAGTATTCACAATAATTTTTAAAACTTTTTCAAGTGTTTAAGATGATGTTATAGTTCTTTTTCTTATGCACAGTATATATTTGGAGATAAAACACCTTAATAACTATAAACCATTCTGTATTAGCACAAAGCCTATTCTTCTGCAACTTTTTCTGAAGTACTAAAATTCATCAGCCTCAATGGGCTACCAGGTATGTCACTACATTCATCATATTTACATCAGTGTTATTCAGAGCAATATTTTTTAAAAACATGCAATTATTTTATTCAAAGCAGCCTAGAAGTGCATTGATAATCATAAAGCATTTATGACTGATTTATCTTAAAATATGAAAATGGTTGTTAAAAATGTGGAATGCATATAACAAGTGTTATAAACAATGTTACCTATACTTCCAAAAACACATACAATCTTTACAATACCTTTAATATAGTTACATAATTATACTGTTCATCATCAGTTTTAACAAATTTTATTAAACTATTTTATTTATTCCCTTTGCCCTTGCATTTTAGCACAATCACACTGGTTGATATCCAATCAGGTCATGATGAAAAATTTCATTGATGCCAGGTGACACCTAATCAGGTTGATGCAATTGGGATAATGAGCTGGCCAATAGCGAAGGCACAGAACAGCTACATGCTAAGGCACCCTGGCTTCACCAAACTACGTTCAAAATTTTACTCATGACATTCGCCCCTCTATGTAAATATACAGGCAAAAATTTTCCAATTATTCCACTAGTAAAGTCACATCTATATGAGGCAGTGGAAAATAGATCAGTACTACACAAATGCACGATTACTAATAATCTGATGACAATCAACCCAAATCTGCCAGGGGTGGCATGGATGTACAGATAGTCCCCAACTTAAGAACATTCTACTTACGAACATTCCGTACATACGAACGTTTTTTTTAAATACATAAGTCAAAAAAATTGTTTGAAAGATGCTAGCAAACTTCAAATTTCACGCCACGGCGCTGCCGCGCTCACTCAGCTGTGGGCATCACTCCCCTGCCCTCTGGCTATAAACACGAATATATCTCTTCACTATGTCCTTGTACCAACATTTTTTGTGCCATAATTCGCTTTACCTGTGCATCAATCCATCAAAAATGTCGGGTGTGAAGAGAAAGATAAACGGTGATGCCAGTGGAATTGCCAAGAAATGTCAGGCTATAACTTTATGGATCTTATCAATCGGTTCACCAGCCAGTCACCACTACATTATATTTTCTTTTTGAATTAATTATGTTTCTACATTTAAAGTTGTATAAATCACCATCAAATAATATGAACCCTTTCACGACGGGTGACGCCACTAGGTGTGAAAAGAAACTGGATGAAAAGTGCCGTGCGGCTGCAGCTGCGGCTGCATGCGGCGGCCAAAGTGCAGTGAGCCAGTGATTCGGCCTGATGTACGGAACTCACGCCCTCAAAGTCCGCGCGGTGCCATTGTTTGCCAGAGCATAGAGTTTTTTATTTGCTAAATTCAGATATAAATCTCCTAGCGACTCATGACTTCACAGGGATGTCATCAATCCAGTTATAAGAAGTACTAAAGAAGGATTCATCAGAGTCCAGACTAGTTCTTGGTACAAGTTGATTGAACAAGTATATTCAACCAGGTGGCTCAAGCCTTCTGACTTAATAGATGCAAACTAGAATATTGTCATAGATCCTCAGTTCCAGCCATTCTAGGTTTTTAGTAGGACAGAAAACTTATCAGTTTTCTGTCCTCTCATTCGGACTGGACATAACTCCAAGGGACTTATCTAACAATGAGTTCAGGTCTTAATGTATCTCAACCACTGACTTTATTACATCAAACTAAATTCTCAGTAGAGTGGGCTCTGGATCAAAAAGTGTGTCGGAATCTCACACAAGAGTACAATAACTTCCAGATCAACCTTTTGGCATCTCACTCCAATCACAGAATCAAGAGATATGTGACAAGAACAGAGGCAGTCAATATACCTCTTTCCCCCTCCTCTAGCATCAATATTGCTGTGCTTGATCTATCACTTGAGAATATACAAGAGTTTTAGTGACTGCCCTACTGTGGGAAGCACAACTATGGACACCAGATTTTCTTCACTGATGTCCTCATCCACTAACACTGTCTGGTGCTTCAGGAAACTCTGATGGACCATTTCATAGAATATTTGCCTTGACATGAGCAGTTTCTACATGCAGCCTTGAGTAATTATTTCCAGCCTTTACAAGTATAGGACCATATCAAAGGCCATCGACCTTCTACCATAAGACAGTATCAATCAGCAAGGTTAAATTTCAAAATGTTCTGCAGAAAGACAAGACCAACATCTATATCTTCAAATATATTCATCCAGTTTGTGTCCTATTTATCCTATTAATAATTACACAAATGAGATACACATTTGGAATAGAAAAGGATGAAAGATCCATGGAAATGCTTCATTGCTCATTCCTCCAACATTGACCTGCAATTCTTAGTAAAATTCCTTCATGGTCTCTGCAGAAAGTTCTGGACCTCTCTCATCACATCAGTACTGTTATATACATCTCAGGATGGTCCTCACAAAGCAATGCTCCTTGATGCTCTTGCCACAGGTCTAAGAATTTCACCAATGGCAGCCCTCTCACCATCCCCTTCTTTGACAAAATTTGGACCAGATAACTCATATGTTTCTCATCCTCATTGCCTAGAAGGGTGGGTGGTAAGAGCCAGCAGAGACATGGTTAGAAAATATGTCCTCTCATGTTTTATGCTCAGTCACAGCTTTGAAATGGATATACAAGCAACCCAGCAACTTCTAAGGAGCCACTATGATTGTGGCCAAGATAATTAGAAGGATACTTGAATCTGCTGATCCAAGTCATGCTCCCATGGCTGATAAAGTTCTGAAGTATGCTTCTACTCTTACATTTTTTTTTATATATGACACTGCATCTACAAGACATCCCTTGTGTGATAATGACTACACCACCTATCCAAGGATCTCAATAAGAGTACATCTTTAGTACATCAATAGTACATCTTTTCTTTTCAGTCCACTAGTTTTATTCCCCATATTCAGTTGCTATTCAGCAACTTGACACCAGACCAGTGAGACAGAAAATAATGGATGGATGGGAAATGTTCCTTTTCTATCTCTGGGGTCTGGTGGCAAGATTTCCCTCCCATCCCATATCTGAAAATTCTTTTTTCAACAGTTCTGATGACCTGAGGTCAAAATGTCTGTGCTTTCCATGCCTAAGGACAAAAAGGTAAGGGTAAATGGGAAAAAAGACAGTTGATGGTTGGGGATTATTCTCCAGTTTATGTTCTGGGGGGCCACTTTTCAAAGAAGTTCTGATTATGCTTTAGCTAAGTCACAACAATTTCTTGACACCAGCTCTCTGCGACAGAAAAAATATTTTCCATCCATCAAATGTTTTAATTTGATTCATACAATCTCAAATCACAGGATAACAACCCTACATATTAGCATCAAATATTCCCTAGATCAATAATAACTTCAAGTAGTATTTATAATGTATTAATAAATTTTTGCATTTAATTTCCTGGTGCAAGTAATACTTAATTATTATATACTGCTGATGTAAAATACCTATAGAAGAAATATTATGATTTGTTATGCAGCTTTTTGAAAGAAAATACATTTTCAGGACTGCTAATACTAATTTGGCCTATACAAATCAAAGCTCAATACTATTGGATTCCACAAAACTTATGCAGCATAAATTACAGGCTTATAGAGTTGCTATTAGCTGACTACAAACTTTAGAACAAGCATTAATACTCAATTATGTGTAGTCACTCATACATGCAAAATTCCAGCCATTACCAAAATGAACAAAAGGTTCCAACAGACTGTTGCCCAATAACCATAGCTATTGGAAGCAGAGGTAAAGAGAATCATCTTTGCTGCGGTGACTTTCCTGAAACCACCATTCCATTGAGCCCTAGGCCAGTGGTAGAAATTTATTAACAGGAAGCTATTCTATATAAACACTACCCAAAAGGAATATGAATATTTTCATGAAGAAAACTGATCCTATAATAAAAAAATAATAATAAGTACGTAAATTAAAAGTAAATTATCTTGAGAAATGCATTTGCAAATATATATAAAAAAACATCTAGAATTTTCTCCTGAAGTAACTTACCTTCATAACCCTGGTTATCATGAATTTCATGTACTGGGTGTTCGTTTTCTCTTCCTTCTAAAACAGCTAGAAGGCACTGGTGGATGCATATATACTGCTGCTCAGTTTGTACCATAGATACTCTTTCTCGCCTCATCTCATAAACAATACCAAATATATCCACATAGTCAGATGTCCGAAGGCTGAATAATATCCTGTCCAAGGCAATGAAAGTTCCAGATCTCCCAACACCAGCACTGAAATAATAAGATAATATCTATATTATGGAATTTTAAGTAATAGATTTATTACAAAATATACCTCACAGTAAAAATCCTCTGAATAAAATACAGATAGTCCCCTACTTAAGAACATTCTACTTATGAACATTCCATACATACAAACAAAATTTTTTAAGTACTAAAGTCCAAAAAATTGTTTGAAAGATGCTAGTAAACTTCAAATTTCCCAGGCACGAATATAGTTCAAGAGTCTGGTACTGTATAAGGTATGTCGTACTTATTGGGATTTATTTACAGGTATTCTTAATGCAAACAAAACTTTAAAACAATGGGGAAAAGGGGAATGGAGACCCAATTTTCGACATACAAACAAATTGACTTACAAACAGCCTCTCGGTCCCCATTATGTTCTTAAGTTGGGGACTTACTGTATATAAAATATATACTTCTGAAAAGCTCTCTGAACATGAAAAGAAGAATATTAACCTGCAGTGCACAACAATTGGCTTCTGATCTGGACCAACTCTTTCTCTGAAAGCTCGTACAAATCTGACCAGTGTTTGTGGTGGGTCAGGGACACCAAAATCTGGCCAGGTCGTAAAGTGGAAGTGCCGAACCACTCGACAAACATCTCCCTGAAAGTAAAATCAGCTTTTGATATATCTGGCAGACTTCTTTATTAAAGAAAGTAAACTTTTGTTACAAGATAGCCCACTGCCACCGAGGATTGAATGTACATCATGTCCACTATAATTTTCATTTATTTATGGATCCAAAACAGCTTATCACTGATTACTAGTTCTACCCATCTCACCTGTTTATCCTTTCCTTGAGTTTTAAAAAGATTCTTCTTTATTTTTTATTGCTATTAGTGATATAAGAACATTAAAGTAATCTTATTATTCATAATAACAGTATCTATATCAATAGTATTAGACGAAAGAAAAATTCTGAAAATTCAAGAAATCATGAAATCAGGAGAGGTTATGTATGGCCTACTAATACACTCTTTGGTGACTTGAGTTCTTGTGGAGCTTTCCATGCGTAAACAAAATTAACAAAACAAAACCACAGTTAAAAGTAGCCTATATGTACCCAGTAGCAATGAGTTAACCACATGTCACCAGGGAAAATGCTGTGCTCATTTATGTGAATATTGATGGTGTTATTTTTATTATAGACATTATAATTACTATAATGTTATAAACATTAGTAACAGCAAAATAAGTTAACATAAAATACTTTCGTAAATCAAGGAAAAGTGTAAACAGGGGAGACAGGCAGTATTCATAATTGGCTCATTGATGACTTGGTACAAGTGTAGTGATCTATGTGTAAAAACAATTAATACAGTAAAATCACAGTGGGCATGGCATGTATGTACATGCCATGCCCATCTGGTTTGGGGACAATAATCACTAACACTGACAGAACCAAATTAACTACTCATATGTATACAGAATTATTATTATTATTACTTTTTTATCAGCAGCAATACTTTACTGATGGGGAAGTTACACTTTTCCTGTTTTATGTAAGCTTTTATACTTTACTGATGGAGGAGTTACACTTTTCCTGTTTTATGTAAGCTTTTACAAACTATGAGTGTAGCTTTCAATATTATACCTATTTTAACTATAATGACTATTACTTATTAATTCATTCATATGAAACAAAATTTTTAATAATTTCAAAGCTGTTCAGAGAATAATCAGTGGTACCTAGCAATTATCATTTGCAGTGACATATAAGTACATGTAATCAAAGGGCACTACAGACAATTATAAATCTATGGAGATCAGGAGTGCATGAAAATAATAGATCTCATAAAACCATCACTAATTTATTATGATAATCTGCAAAACTAGTAACTATCAGCAATAATAATCAGATTCCATTATGCCCTATTACCATCCTAGGAGGCTAGATAACATGTTTTGGTAAATTTAGACTGATACACTACTCACAGGGCAGTACAAAAAGTACTTCAACAAGAAGAGATTAACGTAAAATATTAAAATCACAAGGATTTTTACAGTATAAATAGTGATAAAGCATAAAAAAAGAAAGGATAGAGGGGTTAGCTTCATTGAATCTACTATTTCAAAGGCAAGGCAAAACATTAATAAACTCAAATTAAAAAAAAAAAAAATCAAAGCATATTATTGGTCATAAATCAATGTTATTTCCAACAATAAGGAAATGACAAAAAATGCTCCAATAGTTGCTCATCTAAGTCTGGCATTGTTAAAAGTGGGGACAAAAATAAAGACTCACCTTGCAAACTCTGAATTCCGAGATGGTCCAGTCTGGGAAACGACTCTCATTGAGGATAGTCACTTGAATATCTCCGTAACGAACAGGTTGTGTGTTATAGGGCCAATAATGGTCACATTTTTCACGACCCTGTGGTGAGATTTTCTTAAATCAATAACTTGATTGCATAAAGAGGTAACTTAAAAAATCTAAAGAAGAAAAATCTGCAACACTCACTCATACTCTCTCTCATAAAATATTAATCAGTGACCACAATAATAATAATGATCATTATAATGATAACGATGATAATAATGATAATGATTCTTTGATAATAATGATAATGATTCTTTGATAATAATGATAATGATTCTTTACCAACGATGATAATGATCATTATAATGATAGTGAAAATTTAAAAGACCATTATAATAATCATTATAATTATAATTATAATGGTTATTATAATTATCATAACAATAAAAAAAATAATAATAACACTGCACCTTTTCTATACAGCGTGTCAGCATCACAATAGCACGTGAATTACTTTCCCAACACATTCTCCAGAAATCATCCCGGGTGGATAGAAGAGGACCTTGGCTTACTATGAACTCTCTTGGAGAATTATAACCCTAAAAAAAGGAAAAAAATCATAATATACATGACATACACATGCATATCATTTGGTTAGTTCTGTTTTGTTTTTTTATTAATTAATATCTCATATTTCTTTATCAGTAATAACAATAAACAATTAACAAATTGAGTTATATTCTTTTATACCAAACTAATTTTTTTTTTTCATGAAGTATAAATTCCCAATGAAGTACATAATATCACCACAGTTTTACTTTTCTGTTTGTTTTTTCTAATATCATTTCTCTATCTCTACCTCTATTAAATCTACAATAAAGTAAATAAAAAATATAGTACTGCAATGATAAAATGTTCATAGCACCATTTACCAGGCTTACATATTCAACACATTTCCATCTAAAATCTAAAATGAAGTGAATATGACTCCATAATAACTAACTACTCGCACTGAAAAACAGTAGCAATTTTGTTTAAATTATGTTTCAAAATGCAATAGAGCACAACATATACTTTTGTATTTCATATATATTTTTATGCACAGTTAAACTAGCAACTGCAAGCTGATATAAAATAGTATGACAGTATAAGTTCATATTATACCTCTTAAGTAGTTTTTGCTCATTTTTGCCTTCAGACAATGCCAACATAACATCTGATATCCATTTACATAATTCTTCAAAGGTGCTTCATGAATTACACTTCATGTATATTATACCCGTTTTAACTTATTTCATATATAACTTACTGGTACATAATTTGCATTGACATAATCAGACCCCTCTTCATCATCTGTGGGTTGCAATTTGAAGCGAGAATGGTCATAAGGCAAAATATTTGTGAAACGATTCTTTGGGCGATTGACAGACATATATGCAGCATTGCGCTGGAGATCACATCCAACATGACTGAGTGCTTCATATTCTTCTGAGAAGTGGTACTCTGAGTCTGCAGACATAAATCTGTAATGTGCTACGAAGTCTGGCAATTTCACTGGACGGCTGTTGATAAAAAAAGATAGAAACAACTGAAGGTGTTAAAAAGTTAAAAAGTCATGTTGCTTGTGAAGAGAATGACAAATTAAAACACCTAAATCAATAAGTTAAACTCATATCAAATGCCTCACCATGTATATATCTAATAATGTACTCCTTGTGTTATGCTACTTCACTATTAGTTTAGCAACATAAGCAAATAAGTTTATATATTCACATTAAAAAAATAATAATAACTTCAACTTGGAATTCATCAAAATATGGATTTTTTAAAGCAGAATTATGATTTTAATTAAGGAGTGGTTAGAAATTTAATAAGAAATTTGCCATCACTTGACTGAATAAATCTAATATGCTTAAAGTAATATTAAATCCCATATATCATTATATATTTACAGTTTAGTTTATAAAATACTTTTACTTTTTTAGCATTTGACAAGTAGGCACATGGCATACCTTGTTTCTATTATAGAATCTGGAAGAGAATGCATGTCATTGCCTGGATCTGGAGCCCTTTTTGTGAATCCACAAGCTCTTCGTCGTCTTATGATCATTACCATAACTACAATCAACACAAGGAGGAGGACTGGGATTGCCACTGCTAACCCAACATTCCCACTCTCTGAATCTGTAAAAAGCAATCCCATTAATGGACTGTCACTCAAACACATAAACAGTTAACGATAAAACTGCAGTTTCAAAAAAAGAATCTTATTTTCTAGACAAATTATAATTTCTTTTCTTATAGTGACTGTGATCATAAATCTTGATGAAACAAGCAATCTTTCTGAAATTTGTTCACAGTTGAAAATCAATATAAAATCTAAATATATCAATCATGGCAGCATTAAATGCATATGCAAATCATTAACCTTGGTAGACCAATATGAGTAACTTGCCTGTTGTAATTGAATGACTGAAGTGTGTGTCAGCAAACTTAGTTCTTTCTGTATAAGCTCGTATTTTAACCCTGTACGTAGTTCCTGGTTTAAGTGGTCCATTACAATAACCAGCACGATTATCACAGTCCTCATTCCCAATTTCAAAATCTTCGATTTGTGTTTTGTTAAATGGATAGTACATTTCTGTAACCTAAAAAAAAGTTAAACAGACCAAAATTAAACACACATTATACAGGCTTCATTAAAATGAAAATGCTATCATTACACATGATATCTGCAAGTGGACAAAATCATATTAGTTGACAATAACATGGGCAATAATGTGATGACAATGAATAGTTCTATATATCAGATAACTATGCTTATGTATCAAGGAGAGCAACATTAAATAAATTAAATTTTACCTGATATGGAGGCCAGAATTTATAGCTCTGAACATCTTGCCAGGCAGGTAACTCAAGCCCTTCTGATTGCTTGGAAGAATCTTCTGCAACGATGATGGTGTATCCAACAACTTTCCCATATTGGTCGGAAAAGTAATTTTTCCGGTAACGAATACGAATAGTAGTTGAGGTACGGGATACTTCGGTTGGGAAAACCTGAATGCCTGGTTGAGGAGGTGCTGAAAAAGAAATTTTGATTAGTTACAAATGATGGAGACAATTATCTTGAATAATTAGATATGAATGAAGTGCTATAAAAAGGAGATTATAATTTAAATAAAACATAATAATATTCTTTGCATCTAAACCTTTGAATACAGATATACAGATATACCTCAATAAAAATTAATCCTTCAATTCAATGATTCAAAAAATTATTGGCAGAAACTTAACTGCAACATGAAAATTATGTATCAATTCTTGTAGAGCTTTGATATGCAATATGATTACAGGAAACAGTTTTTATAACATCTTAAAAATCTGTTTAATCATATTGCTTTGTTCACCTTGAGAAATATCAAAATTTAGTAATTCTGAGCTGTATCCCAGGATGGAAACCACTGATTTATATCCTATATGGCAGCCACCAGGATTAAAAGTGTACATGCCCTGTCCACGGTGATCATAGTTTATTTATCTTGTTTAAACATGGATGGCTCTAAAAGCAGTTTAACAACATTAACAGTTTAATAACATTAATAACAATAACAATAGAAACAGATATAAAAAATATCCTTCCCAAAATTTAAGAAATGGGGTGAAGTCAAGCAGGCCTTGTACCTGACTCTTTGGAGACAAAGCATTTGTGAAGCCATCTATACATAAGCAAAACTGATAAAACAAATCTAAAATAGGCAGTTAGTTCCATTAACTGGCATCAATGGGTAAGCTACTCGACTATGAAAAAAAATGAAGAAAGAAAGCTTACGCCAAACTGGCATGGTTTCTTCCCAATATTTTATGCGTCCAGAACCAATCTTTGTCGTGGCCTCTATTTGGAAGGAGTAAGTTTTCCCAGGGATGAGATCTGGGATTTCACCAGACCGTTCATCAGGCCCAAAATGTCTTTCCTTTATTGGAGCAGTATCCTGAAAGAAAGAAAATATAAAGTATAAGACAGTTCTTAGTTCTTAAACTTTAGTATCTAGAATAATTTCAATCAAAACCTGGGTTAAAACATAAAAGTTTTAAAAGCAGTATTGATACCACACCTTGATTCCATATTTAATGTTGAAGCCTAAAAGAACACCATTTTGCTCATCAGGGGGTAATAACCACCTAAATGTGATTTGGTTGGGTTTTACTTCAATTGGTTCAAATTCGTCAACCTGTATGTAGAGAGAGAGAAATTACATATCATTCACTGTAGATACAAATATATATAACCAAATCTTAGACACTATATCCTTTTCAAGTTTTTCTCATAATTCCTATTATACCTCCAATCCTTGTGCACCAGAATGTCATTAATCTCTAAAGGATAGCATAACTGAAGGTGTCATGTGTACACAGGACAGGAAAAATTATTTCTTGTACATTTCAATACAAAATCATTTCAGATCAAATTACTCTAATCTGGCTTTTCATACTATAAACAATTTGGACACTTTTCCAGATGACTTTTGCTGCCTTGGTCAGTGTGCACATATACATTAAAACAATAATTGCCATATTTTGTCCTTATAGTAAAAGGGATGGAAACAGGCTTTCACTCATCATATCAGTTTTCAGAAACAACTCAGAAGAGATAAGAAGAAAAAATTATATGGAAGAAACGAACTGCAACAACATACAGGCAGACATAATCCTACCTTCCCAGGAGTGCTTTCTCTTGTTGTAAATGCTGCAGACACAGGTGTTGACTTCTTAGTGCTTCCAGCTCTAGTAAGAACAGTAAAAGTATAATTGCGATGTGGTCGCAATTTTGTGATGGTAATGGAATCCTGCTTTGTGTTATTGGTAAAGAGTTCCTTATCACGGAGATATTGCACCTGTGGAAATTAGGAGGAAAAACAATCAAGACCTGCAAATTACAATAATATTTAATTATGTTTTAAGCAGTAATATGTCAATATGGTATCTAGAAATAATCCCCTAAATCAAGTCATTCTTCATGATAAAATAAAAGAAACACATACATAATTAGAGTTTTAATGTAAACATGCTAATAATGTGTCTCCTACATATGTCAAGAACTGATATACATCCTTGTGTTAAAAAAGGGGGGAAAACCTTACATACCTCAAATGAATCATAATCTCCATTTGGTTTACTCCATGATAAAGTAATTTCAGTATCTGATATGTCTGAAGCACTGATGTTTGAGACAGGTTCAGGATACAGTCGATCTTGGCGTATGAGTGGCTGGCTAGTTACACTTCCTGATACTGTCCAGGCTGTGATGTTATACAATCGACCTGGCACTAGTCCATTGAATATTATCTGAAAAAATATAATCAGGATTGCATAATTAGCTCTAAAATACCTTATGGTGATTATGCAAAGAATAAAAAAAATATATCAAATGAAAATATTGATACCTACCCACCAAATAACTTTACAACCTTTCTGTTGTCAGATGCCAGCAATACGCAAAAAAAAATTTTTATTTACCTTACGATCATCATCAACTGCTGATTTCTCCTTAACAGGTATAGATGGATCAGACAGCATGAATCTGTAGGTGTCAAAAGTTGCTACAGAGTGTGGCGTTGGAGTATACCTGATAGTGAATGATCTGGTTTCTAGCAGATTAACAATAGTTATATCTGACGTGATGACGGGCACTGAAAGAAAGAATATATTAAATATGTTTCTGCTTGAGGATGTGATTTATTACCTAAAATCTAGAATTCTGTTGTACCTACACAAATAACTCAAAGGATGACATAACCAAATTAATAATCTAACTGGATCTTTTTAGATATTCTAAAAACAGGACTCTCTATATAGAAAAGTCACTCAAAGGATACTCACTTGTTCTGCTAGAGAGTTCTGCAACCTTGCTGTTCACTTCATTAGCAGTGGTATATACCTGGAAATGATACAGCTCTCCTGGCCTCAGCTCTCCAATCAAAATGGTCAACTTTCTCTCTATTCCTTCAGTTGCTTGGGTCCCTGGAATTTCTTTGGATTTCTGAAATTATAATTAGTAGCCATCTATATCAACTTTTTTAATGCTATGGTAATACCAACAGCAATAAAGTAACCTCCTTATGACCCCACAGAAAATTATTAATTATTCAAAGTAAATGTACAAAGAATTGTAATTGTTTTTTCTCACCTTTCTATCTGGAGTAGCATCATTCCACCAAATAATAGTATATAAATCAATTCTGCCTTCTGGTCTAGGCCATTCAAAGGTAATATTCTGAGAATCAAGAATTGGAGTAATTCCTCTTACAGGGTTTGGTGCTGCAAAGTTGAAAGGAAGTTATTACAGGAGACTTATTATGTATGAATAAATTTGTACATGATACCTTGAAAAAAAATATAATACATACATACATCACATATACAATTATCGATGTGCATTTATGATACAAGGCAAAGCCACCTTTCTATACTTACGAACAGTATGCTCAACTTCTTGAGGAGTGAAACTTTCAACACGATGAGAGACTGAACGAACTTGTATTACATAACGCTCTCCTGGTTGCAAGTGGTCAACAACTGCTACAGTTTTATTAACTGCTTGCAGCACAACCCAGTCTCTTGATTCAACAGTTCGGTACCTATGAAATGTAATAAAAAACTGAATCATAAAAGGTGTTCAAATTATATAATTGTATCAAAACAGCATGCAGTTAACCAATGGAACATGAGAGAAGGATAGTACGTTGTTTGTACAAAAGCTGTAGCCATTCTATACAAAGCTTCAGTGGTCACTTACCTAACGATATAGTGCGTGAATAAGGACCCTATTGGGGGCTGCCATGCTAAGATCACAGAAGTATTTGTGGTGTCACTGATTGTCAGATTGCGGACAGGATTTGGGTCTGAAATCACCAAAAAATAGTGAACCATAAGACACATGTTTAGTGCTGTTTATTTCTAATACATTGCAGTGTGACGTATTTTCAAGTAAAAGAACGGTGTACAAGAACGCATCCGGATTTACGTATGCGAACGGGTAATGGCCATGTTGGCACTTGGTGGTCGTTTCGTTTTGTGGATGCTTACTAACACCCAGCGGTACGCCCTTGCGTCTTTCTATTAAACGCCCCACCTCCAGGAGAATATGCCTTGAGTCTTAGGTCGGAGAGAGCTCGCGGTCCACACCCAACCCCTTTCACAACCGAGATAGGTGGCAACCACTTCGCCGAGTGCGCGGTGAAGTCGCCACCGGCAGGCAGTTGGCGGGTAACCTCGGTCGTGAAAGGGTGTAAGTGAGCGCTGAGGGAGACTCTTGTGTTATTGTAATTATTGGTGCTTTTTGTATAATTTATGTGCTGTATACCGTGCGCCTTATTTATATTGAACTCGACAGTGATTTTTGTACACCGTATGCCAGAAAATAAAGCAGTCGAAAACGGATACTGGTGTCTCTCTGCTCCTGCAGAACTTGAAGGTTCATTTTGCCCGTCTTTTTCCCTCATGCCTATATTCATGCCCTATAATTCACGACTGAGGAATATTCGTCAGCTCCTGTAGCAAGGGTGAGTGGCAGAGCAGATGTCCACAAACCACTATAGATTCGTGGTGGCAATAGTGGGATAGAGGTTTTGTTTACCTCCCGGCCCACGCCTCTTGTATTTAGTTGGTTTATTTTTTTTTTTTTTTTTTTTATTACTTTAAATGTGTTCATATGTCATTTTACCGTTTCAGTAGGTTTTGCTGCCCGTTTTAAAATATTTCAAATTTTTACCTTAAATGTTTTCATAAGTAATTTCATTATTTTAGCAGGTTATACTCCGTTTTGGTATTTTTTCACTTTTTACCTTAAATAATTTAATATGTCATTTTATTGTAATTTTAGCAGGTTTTGCTTCCTGTTTTAGTATATTTTCAATTTGTACATTAAATATTTTCATAATTAATTTTATTGTTTTAGCAGGTTTTGCTGCTTCCCTCAGTAAAATTTTTAGGTTCACTTTAAATTTTTTCTTCAGGGATACTTTTACTTATACTTTTTATCTCTGTGGTGCCTACCCTTGAACATTGAACATTTTACAAAATAAAAGTGTTTGTGTCCACCAGTGTGCCGCGCCCAAAGTGCAGTGACCTTTTTCAGTGCCACGTGGAGGGTTGTGGGCCTGTTCCCTATAGACTGCGGTCTCGCACCACACTGCCTGACAGACCACAGGTGCTGCCTGCCATGCCCTGCAGCAAGATGTCACAGCCAGGGTCACGACCACCGACCTTAGAGGATGCAGGCCCCCAGGAACTACCCCCTGGGCCAGACCCAAGGTTGGCACCTGCTCGGAGTGCTGTGGCTTCGGGAGGGGCACCGACTGATCCTGGGACTGCTGCGACTGGTGGCCTAGAAATGCAGCAACGACAACTGGCTCAATTGGAGGCACAGTTTATGGACCAGTTGGGAGTGTAGGTGGGGAACCAGCTGGCCCACATGCAGGCGCAGATGCAGATGCAGGCACAGATCCAGGCATTGGCAACTCTCCTGAAAGGCCAACAGCCGACGCCTTCTACTGCTGCCAAGGGGATTTTGCCAGCCGCTGACGCTATGCTACCATCTTTGTCAACCATTCAGACCTGCAGTGAGGAAGCTACTGGACAGCAGTCACGTCCGCCTCCACCGGTGCCTGTGTGTACACAGCCTCCTGCATTTGTAGCCTCATACCTACCTCTGTGGTAGACAACTAGCCCGTTACAGATACAAGACACAATACCAGACCTCAGCAGATGGCAGCTCCTACACCAGCTGTTGTGTCTGCACCACCACTGCCCACCTTGTCGGGGACTGAAGCTGCAACCCAGCCCCAGCCTCCAGTGCTGCCTCAGTCAACACAGTATGGGCCACCTCTGCAATATACTGTGCCTGTACCACAGCCTCCGGTCTATCTGCACTCAGCACATCCTGCAGCAGCTGATGGCACACCAGTCTCCTTATCCCAGTCATGGCCAGCTCCACCATATGATCATGCCTGCCCTTGTTCCACACTGACCAGCGGACGTGATGAGGTCCCTGCCTTTGGCGGTGAGACACCAGCCTCTCAAGGGCATCCAGCGGAGTCAGGAGCTGGAGTCTGGATTTCCAGGATCGAGCTTGCGACCCAGCCTGCCACCTCCGAGGCTTACATCCGCATGGCAGGTAGCAAGGTGAGCGGATATGCCTGGTCAGTGTTGAACAGCCCAGTGTTTGCCAGCATCCAGGACTGGGTGAGTTTCAAGGCTCGGTTCAGGGACCAGTTTCAGGGCATAGCAACGGCACAGTAGTTTTATAACATGCTTGCCTGAGCAAGGATGGCAGTAGGCCAGGGGCCTCTGGACTTTTTCCGTGTCGTGGAGCTGGCAGTACAACAGGGCATGCAAGACTATCCCCAGGACATCAGGAATGTTGAGGGTCTCACGCAGCGCACCTTCCGTGAGGCGTTCCCTTTGTGGCTTCGAGGTCAGCTGCTCTGGCACGACTTCTCATCTATCCGCAAGATGGCCAAGAAATGCCAGTCTATCTGGGACTCCGTGGTTGGGGCAAGACACACCCTACCTGATGTGCACGGGCTCCTGAGGATGGGACGGACATCGAGTTTGTGGCCACCCCAGCATGGCACTCGTACCAACATCACAACGTAGATGGTCTCACCGGGTAGGAAATGGGCAACGCTCCTGGTGTGACTATCATTGAATGAAGGGCCATCACACCAACAATTGCATGGCAAGGAAAGGTTGGTGCTACAGCTGTGGTAAGATGGGCCACCTTAGAGCTATGTATCCCTTTAGCCAACGCCGCTCGGGAGGAGCCTCCCGGCTTGCGGGCGGCCATGCCAGTGCACCGGGAACTGACCACCCAGCCGAAACAGAGGTTCATAGGACGGCCCATGATAGTCCTCGAGGTGGGACGTAGGCCGTTCTCCTGTTTCTTGGACACAGGGTCAGAGGTGATAATGGTGAAGAAAGAGGCTGTCACGCACATGCCTGGGGTCCATCTGCATGCTAGCTCAAGGGCGTTACAGGGTGTTTCAGGCCAGCCGACCCCTGCTGTGGCAAAAGCAGATCTTGTTTCACCATCAGTCCGAAGTCAACTGTCATCCACTGGACCTGTGTCGTGGAGAACCTTCGTTTCCCTGGTGACATCTTGATGGGTATGGACCTTCTACATCGCTTCCCTGTCCGCATGATCCTGGATGGTGTTCCTGCTGATAGTCACGTGGATCTGGATGGATACAGGCACAAACTTACCTTCACCAGAACTTGAAGGTTCATTTTGCCCGGCTTTTTCCCTCATGCCTATATTAATGCCCTATAATTCACGACTGAGGAATATTCGTCAGCTCCTGTAGCTAGGGTAAGTGGCAGAGCAGCTGTCCACAAACCACTACAACATAAATATGTGACCATTTGCCATGTTGTAGTGATACATTAAATCCTCAAGGTCTTCCCATGACCTAGAGATTACCTTTGTAAATTCACCTGGGTAGTGTTTCGCGTGTCAGTTACCTGCATGGGGTAAGCTGCCACCATCCAAATGAGGGATCAGAACCCATGTGCATGCAAGACAGTAAAAAGCATCTGAGCATTGTGTTGTGTAAGTGCGAGTGTCAGTCTGTGTAAGATACACTCATTAAGGGGAGAATCCCATTTTCTTCGGGCTTGAAGGGGAGACTGGCACTTTGTGATAAAGGCGTGATCCACATGCATAGTGAAATTACAATAATATCAAACCAAAAATACTCAAATTTTACTTACTAGTATGCTTACTACAACTGCCCTGGTAATGTGAATAAATATACATGCAAAATAGCAAAACATAGCTACACATATGTACTACACCCTAAAATCAATAAATAGAATCACTTACACACTGCTTGAAAGTATACATGAGGTTCACTCCACTGATTGTGTGATATGGCATACACTTTAATCTCATATCCAGCTCCAGGGAACAGATCCTCTAACAGAACATGCTCCTCCTCTATCTTCCGTGTAACAGGTTCACCTTTAGGGGGAAATATGAGAAAAATAAATATTGTTAAAATTCGAGTTCAGACTTCGGGCACACTACATCTATAACATATCATAAATTACATCGATAATCTTTTTAGAAGTTCCATATACACACACATGTGTGTGTGTGTGTATTATATATTATATATCATATTCATTTTAACAAACTTCAATGTTACCTGTATCATTTCTGATATAAACTACAGCATATTTATCCTGGCGAGAAGTAACATCACTTTTCCAAGATATGTTGAGGCCCCGAGGAATTGGCTGTAGCTCTTCAATGATTGGAGATGCCGGTTCTGGATGGATAAAATCAGTCAGCTTCTATCAAAAGTTTGAAATACAATCTACACACTCTCCATAGCTTTAATATACAAATTCTGACTGAAACTGATATCCAGAGAATTATTGTAAAATAAAAAAATATATATAAAAAAAAAGTATTAAAAAAAACAAACTAAGTACTTACTAGTGACTATGTAGAGAGAAACAGCTTCACTTTCAATATTATTTGAAACAGCAGAGACAGACACTGAGTAATTTCTGCCAGGATAAAG